TGCATGTGTGCGTGTGCGTGTGTGCATGTGTGTGCGTGTCTGCCGGGGCGCGTGCCCATGCACGTGTCCGTGTGTGCATGTGTGCGTGTGCGTGTCTGCCGGGGCGCGCGCCCATGCACGTGTCCTTGTGTGCGTGTCTGCGTGTGTGCATGTGTGTGTGTGCCGGGGCGCATGCCCGTGCATGAGCACGCGTGTGTCTGCTCGCACATGTGCGGAATGGCCCTGACCCAAACACAGATGGTCACCTGGACTCAGCTGGAGGCTGCCTGGACTCCCTGCACCCCCGGAGACTCAGCAGGAGGAGGCCCGTCCAGCGTTAGCCGCCGCCTTGTAGTAGGAGCTTCCGTGCATTCACGCAGCCGACCTGTTACTGGCGGTAAAGGCATCAGCTAGAGCTTTCTGTGGATGGGTCCTAACAACAGTGTAAGCAAAGCTGCAGACTGTTATTTTCTAGATTTCAAAGGCCCACACCAGTAATACTTGTATTTTCTCGGGTTCATGGATGTGCGTGGGAAAGTATGAAACACGGATGGAGTGCATCCCTCAAGCCCTGATGGCTGTGGGCGGGGATGGGGTGGGTCTGTGGACGGCGAGGTTAGCTCTGCTCCTCAAGCCTCTTCAGCAAGTAGGATAGAACGGTCGTAGTCAGTCCTAGCTTGTACTGGAGCAAGATTGTTTGCAGAGTAATTCTTTGTATTGAAGAGTTTCTCACTTAGTGGAACAAGGACGAGACCCTGGTGGGAAGGACAGGTGGTGTCGTCCAGGAAAGGGGTCCCGGCCCCCATCCACTTCTGCCTCTCAGCCCTGCCATTGCTCGAACTGCTCTCCTCCTTGTTCCCCCAGCCGGGGAGCAGGGGGGCTCTAAGCATGTTAATTTTAAGAAGGCTGTTCCTGGGGTTTCGGGTGGTTTGTGTTGTCCTTTTGGTGGATGGCCTTGTGGCGGACCTGCAGGTTACCCCAGAGACGAGCGCCCGGCCCGTTGGCCCCTGTGTTCTAACGTCATTTATTTGACATGTAAAATAAGCTTTAATACACAACATCATAAGAACTGCCTGGATCACTGGTGTTGACAGGGCATCATTTGCAAATTTAAAAAAATAATTTTATGTTTTTTAGTCAGTTCAGTATTCCTAGAAACCTAATTACTAACCTGTACATGAATCTGAAAAGTGATGTTTTAAATCTCTGTGCAAGGGGCACCTGGGTGGCTCAGTTGTTAGGCGTCTGCCTTCAGCTCAGGTCATGATCCCGGGGTCCTGGGATCGAGCCCCGCATCGGGCTCCCTACTCTGCGGGAAGCCTGCTTCTCCCTCTCCCACTCCGCCTGCTTGTGTTCCCTCTCTCGCTGTCTCTCTCTGTCAAATAAAATCTTTAAAAATAAATAAATAAATAAATCTCTGTGCAAGATAGGATAATTTTGTTATCTTTTAAAACATCTTTTACATATCTAAAACAATTGTTAAAAATTTGCTTTTGCTAAGATACAGATCTTTATGTTTAGAGGAAAATAAAAAACTCAGAGCAGATATTTACAGAAAATAAATATCTGTCGGTATTGGTTGGTAAAAATGCGAATGTTTAGCCAGTTGGTTTGGTCGACCTGCACTGTTAAGACGTTATTCAGTGTTGGTACAGCAGTAAGAGTCACTGTTGACTGAATTCTGAAGTCTGTTCTTTGAAATGCGTGGACTGTGAAGGGCTCAGAAAGGAGCCTTCAGGCTAGAGGACGACAGGGTTTGCGTATTCGGAGGCCGTCACGAGGCAGAGCCTGTGAAGCGGAGCAAACGTCATCCTTGTCCACCGGGCTCGAGGCCCTCATCCCCATGCCCGCCGCAGGGTCCCGTGCTCACCCTGGGTGGCCGCAGGAGACTGGTCTGCTCCAGGAGCCAGGGGATGTAAGGCATGATAACCCGAGCAGGGTTTCTCCGCTCCCCACGCGGCAGTGACCGGGAGACCAGGAGTTGGTCTGCTTCCTCCCCAGGGCGCTCAGGCCCTTCTCAGTAAGGCTCGGATGGTGTGCATGCTGCTCGCCCTCCCGGGTCTCTGGGCGCCTCTGTTCACACTCCCTTTATTTTTTCTCTGCCTTTTGAGGCTTTCAGGGCAAGGGCTTTGTTTCTGTATTTTGAATTTTTATCATTCCTACTTTATTTGATTTTATTATTTATTATGTAAAGTAAAATGTTTTACCATTTTTATTCGCTGTTATATTCCTAACGCCAAAGACAGAGCCAGGCATACAGAAACACTTGAAGGAATGAGTATTTCTGTTCCTCGTTGTCCGTCTGTGTGTTCAAAGAGGGGGCAGCTTCCTCCCCAGGCATTTCTCTTCCTAGAAACAGAGATGTGATTCTACTTCTCAAGGAAGAAGAGTGTTAGATTTCTTTAGAATTCTTTTTTTCTTTTTTTTGGAGAGAGCATGAGCATGAACACGTGGGGGTGGAGCTGGGAGAGGCAGAGGGAGAGAGAGAACCTCAAGCCGACTCCACACTGAGTGCAGAGCCTGATGTGGGACTCAGTCTCACGACCCTGAGACCTGAGCTGAAACCAAGAGTCAGATGCTCAGCTGACTGAGCCACAAGAGTGTTAGATTTCTAAACTAGTTTTGCAAACAGAGAGAGAAATGCTGGAGCATTTAAAAGACTCTAATTGTCACAGAATTGTAGGCTTTCAAGAGCTGCTCTCCCCAGACCCTGTAGTCCCACCAGAATATTCCGTAGGTGGGCAGGCAGCCCCACAGGGGTTCAGGGCAGGTCGGTGATGTGCCTGGGGCACCTGAGCCCCTGCCTCCTGGACACAGAAGCACCCAGGAGGGGCTGGTTCGGTGGGAGAGCAGGTGGTCATGTCCCACGCAGATGCCTGAAGATGAGAGTTGAACTTAGAAGTATTTGCAGCTGACCCGTAGACCTAAGGTGGGTAAAGTAAGGATCTCTGCTTAGAAGCATCATCGTCCTGAAGCTGTCCCGTTTAGCCTTAATCCAGAACAGAACTAACTTGTTCCCTCCTTGCGTTGCAGGCGTGGTGTCCTTGGTAGCTGTCCACCCCTCCACAGTGAACACGCTGGGGAAGCAGCTCTTGCCAAAAACATTCGGACAGTCCAATGTCAACATTGCACAGCAAGTGGTAAGGGGCCCTGGGCAGGTGGGCTTGCTGATTCTGGACGGTGGCCTGTGGCTCTGGTGTGGAGGTCGGGGTGTGAGGTCTGCCTTCTGCAGTGCCCTCTCGGATGCTTGCGCTGCTTGCGGTGCTGGGACGAGGGTGCACTCCCCTGGCCTGCGGGCTCAGGCCAGGCACCTTCCCCTCCTGCTACGTGTGTCCCGCTCACCCCACGTCTGCCCCAGAGCGTGGGGCGTGGAGTTGTGGGGGTGGCAGTGCCTGGCCTCAACCCTCCTCAGCGTGAGCGTTCCTTGTCTGGGAAATGAGGGTGGGGTCCTTGCAGGACTCACAGTGGGCTTAGGGCTCTGCAGGCCGTCAGGTGCTGGGGCAGGTGTCCCTGCTCTGGCCCACCCACTAGCAGCAGGCAGAGGTGGGTCTGTGCTCCTGGGTCCGTGCTGGGTGCCCCTGCTTACTGATCCCCTGTGGGTTCAGGGGGCCCTTTCTGACGGAATCTGGTCAGATTGAAGCCTCCCCTCCTCCTGGGCCATGCGTAGTGGTGACAGAAGGATGTTGACTGCCCAACTGCTCTGGGCAGACCTGAGCTCCCACTCCTGGGTGAGCACCCTGGGCAACTGTGCATGTGCCCGTCACTTCACCCCCATCAGGGGATATGACTGCTTTTCCTAGCAGAGTTGCTGTGATTTTTTTCAAAGCAACGCTGTGTTGAAGTCCTACACCATATTTGGCTCATCACAGCTTTTTAGTAAATGTCTTTTTGATATAAGTTAAATATTCCACTTTGTGTTTTATTCTGTAACTCATTATTTTTAGTTACTATGTATCACAGCGGATTTAGCTTGGGAATACCTCCTTAATTATAGGAGTAGTTCTGTTTTTATGGTTATAAATAGTAGGGAGGAACATTAACATGAAGATTTGTCTGTCGGTGCCTTAAACTTTATCAGCCTGAAAGTTGTGGCCCTGGTCTGAATCTGGTTGTTTCGGGGCAGCTAGTGACGGTAACTCATCCTCCGCAAACCCCAGCACCGTGGGCTACAGCTTACACGTCACGGGGGTCTCCCAGTTTTGTCTGCCAGAGGGTTGAGGACAGAAGGACTGTCGCATTGTGACCTGAGAGCCTTGTCTTCCTGGGATGTGAGCGTGGCTTGGCTCTCGAGGGGCTCAGGCCCCGGTCCTGCCCGAGTCGGTGCCCACGGGCGCGGTTTCCAGGAGAGCGGTTAAGATGGGGGAGGAGCAGAGAGAGAACAGCTCCCTGTCATCCAGTGAGCAGCTTTTGAGCACCTGCTGTATGCCTGGTCCTCTGACTTTCGTTCTCATTTTGGACCAGTTGCACTAAGAGGTCCAGCTTACGGAGAGGACAAGAGCGAGGGTGTTGGCTGTGGGCGCCCAGACCACATGTCAGGCAGCCCTCCGGTGACTCTCCTGCCCATCTGCGTGGGTGCTGGTGTCCTAAATCCACTCTCCGACCCAGTCCATGTAAAACATGTTCAATAAGTGCCTGGCTCACAGGCCTCCATGTGTCCCAAACTGTTGGCCTCGAGCCTCGGCTAAAGTTCTCCACATTGAGCCCGGGCCCCGAAAACACTCATTTAACAGAAACAAGGTTTGGGAGGCGCGTCTCCTCTCTGGGGACTTGTTCTCTTTTCTGTCCTCTTTTTTTTTCAGAAAGCTTGCTGTTTGATTTCATGGCTTTTGAATGAAGGTGATCCACAATTTGGAAAGCACTGTGATGAAATTTTGATCATTGGAAATGTGAATTAAAAGAATGAAATTGAGAGTGTTTTTCTTTCTGTGGCCTGTGGGTCGTTAGCCCTGACCGGTGACCTGACCTAGGTCAGCCCGGTCAGCTGTCCCCCGGCCCCAGCAGGCAGCACACGCCTCCTGCTAAGAAGGGGCCCGCCCGGCGGGCACGGCCAGTCCCCGAGTTTGCGCCCCGCCCCCGCCAAGGGCTGCCCCAGGGCCTGGTGCCTGACGGTGACACACGGGGGTGCTAGGCTGTGCAGAACCTGAGAAGTCATGTTTCTGAACTGTTTTCCTGGATCAGCTCTTTGGTATGGGTGGAGTCACGTACAGGATCCTAGAAAACTGGGATCTGACTTGACTGCACAGCAGCGTCTGTGTGTCCCCCGTGTGAATATTTGCATATTAATCAATGGGACCACATTCTAAGTCCTTGTTGAAGACACACCGGGCTTTTCCCTTCCTTCGGGGAAGAGATGGTGTGGGGTGCTCAGACTTAGCCACGTGCGGGGCGGGTCACACTGCCGTCCCCAGAGCTGCCCTCGCCCTGGGGTGTGTGTCTGTTGCTCCCAGTGCTGATTGCCCCCCGTCCCCCCATGCTGCACCGTTTGGGGTGCAGGGTCCCCCGCAAAGCAGTTCTTGGGATGAGACTCCCACATGCGGGTGGGCTGGTGTGTGATCCTTGTGTTTTGGCCTTACTTTAGCACCCCCTGGAAGAGAGGGTTTCATCCTCATCCGCGTCACTAAAAGGAAGGGAAAGTAAACTAGGGCCAGAGGAACGGCGGGAACAGTGCCCTGAGGCTCGCTTTGCAGGCCCCTCCACTAACCACGACCTCCCCAGGGCAACCTCCCCGGGCGACCTCCGTGGGGCTCACTGTTCCGTCGGGCTAGGGCTTGCTGGGGTGGGATGGTTCCTGCTGCTTTTGTTGAACCGGGGGAGACACCTGAAGTCGGTGAGGGACACGACTCGTTCAGAACAGAAGTGCCGACTGATGGCGTCTCTAGCTCAGCAGTGTCAGCTGTTGGTGCTCACGCGACCGTGTTCTCTAATCTTCGTAGTTTATGGAACTCGGCAGTACCTCTAGAGAATGGGAAATGGTAAAATGGCAGGGTCATATGCGGGAGATTGCTGATTGTGTTCTGAATTGTCTCTTTTGACTGTAGGTAATTGGTACGCCTCAGAGACCTGCAGCGCCCAACACTATCGTGGTAGGAAGCCCACACACCCCTAACACTCACTTTGTCTCACAGAACCAGCCTTCAGACCCCTCACCTTGGTCTGCCGGGTGAGCACATTGCCTAGAATTGTAACCCCCAGCTCTCTGTGCCACGTGCCCGGCCGTCGTGCCCGGAATAGACATAGTCAAGGTGCACTTTTCCTCGTAAAGGAGAAGTCTGGCTGCAGGGGGGCTGCGCCCTGCGGTTCGGGGGTGGCGGCACCGTAAGGGGTGGGAGCTGTCCCCCCCCCCCGCGGTTCAGGGGTGGCGGCACCGTAAGGGGTGGGCAGCTTGTGGCCGAGGAGGAGGAGGAAGCTGGCTTGTCAGCGCTGTGGTGACTTTGGCGCTTTTCCCATTGTCTGCACTGGAAAGTAGCATCTAGGGAGCACTGCGCCCACGTGCCGGCTGCCGGCGCTTCAACCACTGCAGCTCTGTAACTCTGCTGCCCCACGGTGACCCCGCGGGAGGCCCCCCACTGTCACCTTGACCGTGTGAGAAAACCGTTTTACTCAGAGGTCAGCTCTGTGACTTTCCTTAAAAACAAAAACAAAGCTTTTTGGCATTATTGTCTGTATTGGTTCTAAAGCAAAAATCATGATTCCCCGAATCATCCAGTGAGAAACTCAGAGCCACCCTTTCCTTGGCGTGGTGACTTAACAAGTTGAGACGCAGGGTTTCCCGCGATCTGAAGCGCACTGCGGTCTTCAGTGTCGGGTGCCGCCGCCATATGGCTGATGTGGTCCCCACGCCGCCTCGGCTCGTAGTCTGCTCAGATTTTCCCTCAAAGTTCTTAAATTTGCAGTAAAAGTTCCATAATTCCCACGTCTGTGGACATCTTTTTAAGAAGCGGTGTTGGTGTATCAGGATGCGGTAGATACGCACCGGCTCCTGCCCTTTCGGGTGTCTGCCCCGTGTTCCCGGGGAGCTGATGCAGATGTGAGGCCTGGCCACTTGAAAGTTTGTTTTCTGGCCCCTAAAGGAAGCAAGGGAGCCTTGGCCCCATGGCTGCGTCCAGTGCGCTCTGTGCCCAGCGGGCTGTGTGCACGCGCTGGGTCCCTGGAGCTGTGCCCGGGGTGTTGGCCCGAGCCCAGCTTGCTAGCCTGTGGGTGAACGTGTGTCGCCCTGGGGCTGGTGCGGAGGGTGCTGAGGGCGCTGCTGTGCCTTTGTATTTTCAAAGGAAGCGCCACAGGAAAGGGGAGAAGAACGGGAAGGGCCTGAGGCACTTCTCCATGAAGGTCTGCGAGAAGGTGCAGAGGAAGGGGACCACGTCCTACAACGAGGTGGCCGATGAGCTGGTCGCAGAGTTCAGTGCTGCCGACAACCACATCCTACCAAACGAGTCCGTGAGTATGTGCCGCGTGACAGGGACACGCCCCAGCGTCGTACGGCTCCCTCTGGGTTTCTCTGAAACAACTGGAGACACACACAGTTCAGAGGACAATGCAAAAGAATTTCCCGGACCTGTTTGCGGCGCGACGCCTTACCCTCCCCAGATGCTGGGATGTGGGATGCGCAGACTCTGGCTCCTATCAGGCCAACTCCCCGGAGAAACTCCCTCTTCCTCGGGGCTCAGTGGGGATGTGCTGGGTGTGACCTAGCTGCTGCTGGGGGGTTCACGGGGCATGAGCAGGTTGGCACTGCCTTTTCCTGAATGTGTTCTGGGTCTGTGAGCTGTTCTGGACGGTTTGGAAAACTCATGTTTTGTCTGCCACCAGGCTTACGACCAGAAGAACATAAGACGGCGAGTCTATGATGCCTTAAACGTGTTGATGGCCATGAACATCATCTCTAAGGAGAAGAAGGAGATCAAGTGGATTGGTCTGCCCACCAACTCGGCTCAGGAATGTCAGAATTTAGAGGTACACAGCTCACCTTCTATTTCCCGTTGCGCCCCTGTGGGTTTGCCCCAGAGCAAGTATTTGGAGCAGACGTTTCTGTTGTGTGTCCTGGGGGTGCCTGGCCTGGACTGGGGGTCAGCTGCTTCCCCGGGCCCCACGCTTGCCCACTGAACGTTGGCTCTAGGCCGTCTGTTTGCCCGCCCTTAGATTTCGGCAAACGGGTTCCGAGAGCATGTCCCTAGGGGGCGCTGCTGGATGCGTCGTAACGCCACTGTCTTTGTTTTGAAGGTGGAGAGGCAGAGGAGGCTGGAAAGGATCAAGCAGAAACAGTCTCAGCTTCAGGAGCTCATCCTGCAGGTAAGGGCGCTGCTCTCTGCCAGTCTGGCTCCCTCCCGCTGCGGCGTCCCCCGTGCCCCTTGATCTGCTGCCTGGACACATCGGAAGGCCCAGAGCACGTCCCGCGCCTGCGCCTCTTCCTGTGCGGACGGAGGGCGGGAGGGGCGTCCATGCGGCTTTTCTCCGGGCGTTGTCCTAACCACTCTGCTCTTACTTCCATCTCTTACCGCTCCTTGGTTACAAGCTCTGTCCTAGAGCGCAGGTCTAGGAGGAAATGCAGATAAGCAGGGTTCAGTACTATCTGCGGCCTTGGCGTGTGTCCGCCGTGGAGAATCTCTCCTTTGAGAGTTTGAAAGGACATTTCACAAGCACCCGCTGAGCTTCTGCTCACGGGCCTTCCTCCCAGAGAGAGTGCATGTGTGTGCTGCTTGTCACAAGGTCCAAATGGCGGGAGGGGTGCCCCTTGGAAGGCAGCATGTGAAGCCTCCTTGGGACGGGTATGAAGTACATCCTGAGCACCAGACCCCAGCCCAGGGGTGTGAAATGGCGACTGTGGGTCAGAGGTCAGCATGTGGGATGGTGGACATGTGTCGCCATCCCTTGCGTCTGCGGAGATGTGCCCAGGTGTGGCCCTCATCCTGCAGGGTCCTGGAGATGCCCATTCAGGGTTGGAGGCAGAAATACAGATGTGTACCAGGGGCCTGCTGTAGGGGGTGGCCGGTCCCTGGACCGAGGCCGTGTGGTGCTGTCTGGCGGGGGCCTGGGGTGTGGGGGCAGCGGCCATGGAAGGGTGGTTGGCCAAGGAAGGGAGCATGGCTCAGCAGCGATTTATTGAGGTGCCTGTGGAGGGAGAGTGGAGGGAGCATAGAGGAGCATGGGGGAGCCCTGGGACCCTGCGGGGACGTGTAGCGGGGGCTGAGGACAGGCCTAGTGGCTGATGTTGGGAGATACTCGAACACGGGGAAGGGCCAGGAGGGGTCAGCGAGGGGCTTGGGACACGTGCTGGCCCAGCACCCGCAGACCACAGCTGAGGGTGTGCGTCTTGCCCCGCTGGGTGCGCTGGGCATGGGGGCACCGGGGTCGCTCCTCTGCCCGAGCAGAGGCATCCAGAGCAGGGAGAGAGTGCTTCAGCGGGTGGGAAGCGGCCTCGGGCCAAGGGACGCAGGAGAAGAGCAGGCACACGTCTGCCGGGCAGCGGTCCCTCTTTCTTCCTCTCCATTCCCTGCGGCATCCACAGCAGGGATCCAGTCACAGAAAAGATCCAGTCACCGCCTCTCCTGCTAAGCTGTGAGCCCCAGGTCCCCTCGAGGGGCACTGTGGCGGGAGGGTGCTTTCTGGCTTTAACTGCAGGGGAGTTAGTGTGAAGGTGTGTGTCACCAGAGAGCCCCGTGCCCGCGGGTCTGCTTCTGTTGCTGCTCTGGGAGGCTCCGGGTGCTCAGCCGAACGTCTGCCTTCTCGGGACATGGAAGGGACAGGAGGGGTGCAGCTTCAGCATTGATGCGTTTCTTGTAACCCTCCTGGGAGAGGTTTCTGTCTTAGCGGTGTGAGCACCTGCCTCCGTTCCCCTCGGGGTTTTGGTTTTCAGGGTGCGCGTGCTCTACCTGGCCCGGCATCCCCCAGCTGCTCTGACCTCTCAAGGGGCTCAACCCCCGTTGCTGCCCTGGGGGGCTGGGCGGGTCGTCCGCGACGCCCACGGACAAGGCTTTAGTTTGGTGGCAGCTGGTGTGAGCACGTGCTGGTGGCTCATCTTTTATAGCAAATTGCCTTCAAGAATCTGGTGCAGAGGAACCGCCAGGCGGAGCAGCAGGCCAGCCGGCCGCCTCCTCCCAACTCCGTCATCCACCTGCCCTTCATCATCGTCAACACCAGCAAGAAGACTGTGATCGACTGCAGCATTTCCAATGACAAGTAGGTCCAGTGACAGGTGGGCCCCCGCCCTGAGGTCCCAGCTGAGCCTCAGGCCGGTGGAGAAGGCTACCCTCACGGTCAGCGGCACGCCCGTCACTTCTTCGTGGAAGTATCTGACTATTCAGTAGTCTTGTGGCGTGACGAAGCTACAGATTTCCTTCTCACGACCCTGGTTTTGTGTTCACCTTGTAAAAGGGAAACGGACTCTGTCAGGTTGTTGCTAGCCGAACCGTTGACCCTTGTACAGACAGCGGCCAGGGTTCCCTGTCGGCCGGGGCGCAGGTGGGCTGCCCACGCTCGGGGGCCGCCCGGGCCACGGAGCTTTGTGATGCGCCACCGCTTCTGAGTGGGTGGGATTTGGAGGGTGCTGGATGAAGTCGGGGGGGCCGAGGGAGGTTGGGCTGAGTGGGGCGTCTCCTCTCGGGGCCCTGCGCTGCAATGAATGTGGCAAGTGACTCCTTTTCTGACGGTGACTTTGTCCCCCAGGTTCGAGTATCTGTTCAACTTTGACAACACGTTTGAGATCCACGATGACATAGAGGTGCTGAAGCGCATGGGGATGGCCTGCGGGCTGGAGTCTGGAAGTTGCTCCGCTGAAGACCTGAAGATGGCGAGAAGTTTGGTGCCGAAAGCGCTGGAACCCTACGTGACAGGTCCGTTGTGTCCCGTTCCCTTGGTGGCCGCGGGGCCAGACCCCACTCTGGACGTGTGGCCCGCCTTTGCTGAGGCCGACTCTGCACTCGGCAGCCGGACTGGGGGGAGGCCGGGGGGATGGAGGGGCCGGGGGTGGCGGGCAGGGTGCCTGTGGGGACCGTGGAGCATGGAGGCCACGATGGCATTTTGTGGGTTTGCCGGTGTAGTTTATGTGATGAAGGTGTTAAGTTAGGATTTCACCTTCCGGGTTCAAGTAGGGAGAGACTGGAATTCTCAGAGGGCGTGGCGGCTCCCCCGAGGCGGGTGGGTGGCCTGCGCGGGCAGGTAACCCAGAAAAGGCTCCGAGGGGGTTGTCTGCGCCTCCTCCTGACGCGGGGCTGAGGAGGTGTTTGCTGGGGCAGCTGTGCTCTGCTTCTCTTGCCGCCCTTACCTGCTGGGACGCCTTTGTGGGGCGGTGGGCGCTTTGTGGTGAGAGAGCTGCTGGGCCTGCCCCCCCAGAGCCGCATCAGAGCCGGTGCACCGTAGAAGCCCCCGACGCTGGCCGCGCCCCTGTGCATGCCATCTTCCAGGCTGGGGAGTCGGGGCCCTCCTGCCCGCGGCCCCACTTTCCGCTTTCCGACAGTGTCACGTAAATTAAGGACTGGGCGCCTTCTTGGGAGGATGGCCGGTGTCCCGGCAGAGAAACCGCTGGCCGGTCAGCTGTCTGGCCCGTACCCGCCTCGTGGCAGCGTGAGCCTCTCTTGTGACCTTTGCTTTGTGTTCTTGTGTTTTCAGAGATGGCTCAGGGATCAGTCGGAGGGGTGTTCGTCACGTCATCGGTTTCGACCTCGAATGGCACAAGGCTTTCTGCCAGGTGACTGCGGCTCTGGGCCGAGCGGGGCCCTGGCTCTCCTGCAGGCAGCCCCTCCTCCGGCTCCGACTGGCTCCTTGCATGGGTGGGGGGACCCCCCAGTCTGGCCGCGGTGTCGGCGTTGGCCACTCCCAGCCAGGGCTCCTCTCGAGCTGTGCACCCCAGAGGCCCCCCGTGGCTTGTACACTGGGTGGACAGGAGCCTCTTATGGTTTCTTCTCCCTAAAACTTCAAAGTGACACGTGACTTTTATTTTTTATTTTTATTATTTTTATTTTTTTTAAAGATTTTATTTATTTATTTGAGACAGAGAGAATGAGAGAGAGAGAGCACATGAGAGGGGGGAGGGTCAGAGGGAGAAGCAGACTCCCCGCCGAGCAGGGAGCCCGATGCGGGACTCGATCCCAGGACTCCAGGATCATGGCCTGAGCCGAAGGCAGTCGCTTAACCAACTGAGCCACCCAGGCGCCCCATGACTTTTATTTTTTAAAAAGTAGCATGCGGTGCGGTGGGACCCAGACTGCCTGAGCCCCCCTGCAGGTAGCCTGAGGGATGGGGAGTTTCTCCATCTGTGTTTCCTACTTCTGCTTAATGCACTTGAGGTGAACACACTTGAGGTCACACTGTACATAAAATTTTGTTTTTTTTTTTTAAGATTTTATTTGAGCAAGAGAGAGAGCACGAGCTGGGGAGGGGGGAGCGGCAGAGGGAGAGGGAGAAGCAGATCCCCTGCGGGGCTCGATCCCAGGACCCTGGGATCATGACCTGAGCCGAAGGCAGATGCTTCACCGACTGGCCAGGCGCCCCCTCTTTTCACTTTACTATTTATTGTATGTATTTTTTCTTTGTTTCTGAAGTTTTATTATTTAAATCAAAACATACTAGCCTTTGACCTAGGTATCCCCCAAAGCAGAATTATATCGTCCCTGAGTATTTATCTTAGTTTTTTAAAGATTAGTGTAAGATAATTTTCATATTAAGTATTGACAAAACAATGGTTTTATTAACTTTCACGTCATATTATATGTTATACATATTATCTTATCAGTTCTAGATATTAATAGATGTTTAATTTCTTTAAATAAGAGATAGATTAGTAGTCTATAGATTCAACAAAATGCATTGATCTGCAAAAGGGTGATGCGGTGCTCTGTGGCCGTCTTGCGCTCCAGGGTTCTGTGACTCGGGTGAGGCTCCCGGCCTGCACCGTGAGATGGACTGGCCACGGGGTCGTCACTGAAGTCCTTTGTGGGGTGTCTGGTCCGGGTCAGGTTTGGGCGGAGATCAGCCCAGTTTTTAACTGTAACCCTCCCGCTGTGTGTGTGTGTGTGTGTGTGGAGGTCAGTCTTTGGGATGCTGAGCACTGGTTATTCCAAGAGACAGGATTTGGGTATTGATTCGAGTTTTGGAGACTCGCATCAGGTTTATAACAAGGCAGGTAAATTCACTACCATTTCAGAAAAAAAACCAGTGTAGAAATTGGCATTATTTTATGAAGGCACAATAATTTCTTGGGCAGTTAGGTCGTTCCCGCTTACAGGAAAAGATGCAATTTTTTTTTTTGATTTTTTTTTTTTATTCTTATGTTAATCCCCATACATTACATCATTAGTTCTAGATGAAGTGTTCCATGATTCATTGTTCATGCACAACACCCATTGCTCCATGCAGAACGTGCCCTCCTCAATACCCACCACCAGGAAAAGATGCAATTTGAAGCAGCTTTATGGCTAAATTTTTTTACCCTTTCTGCCTTTTTTGCTGGGCTGGATTTCACAGATGTGGAGTTCCTTTGTCAAAGAGCCTAACGTTTAATAGTTTTTATCGTATGATGTTACTAAATACTAGTAGAAAACATACGCGTAGGGTTGTGTGTAAAGAAAAGCGTTTCTTGGCGCCCCAGCTCTGGCCTGTGGTAGGGGTGGGTGCCGTACACTGGGGGCTCCCCTCTGTGTTGCCTGATGAGAGCCGTGCTCGTGAGTCAGCCCACGCCCCAAGCCCCCTCTTTTTCGAGTCTAGAACAGCAGTGTCTCCTGGGTAGTTCTGTCCTTCTGTGTCCTGTCATGTTGACGCAGGCGGTTGGAGGCCTTCCAGTTGAGTAGCAGAGAGGATGCTGAGCGTGGGGCTTCTCCTGGGGTGACCCCGAACCCCTGTGTGCTTGTGGGAAGTGTCTGGCTCGAATCTGGAGGATCTCTGTTGAGCTTTAAATTCTAGACTGGTCCCTTTAGTATCTGTTGTTTCTTAGGATACATTTTCTTGCTGCTCAAATACTACGAAATCACAATGAGTTTTGATGACAACCATCTGAGCAGATTATACATCGGGGCGGACGTGTGCATCTTGTGGGTATGGGCTGTCACCTGCTGGTGCCCCAAGGCGGTGTCTGACCCACTCTGCCAGGTGCTGGGAGGTGGCTGAACCCAGAAGTTTTTCCTCAGGATCCCGGCTTTTAGAATCTCTCTGTTCTAGGCCATGGCCTTGCCTGAGGCACTGTTGACATTTGGGGCCAGATGACTCTCTCGTGCGCGCTGCTATGTGCCTTGTGAGCTGTTAGCGGCACCCTGGGGCTCAGATGCTAGTAGGCCCCCTGCAGGCGTGATGGAGATGGTTAGATGTCCCCTGTCAAGACTCCCAGGGGCACAGTGGCAGCGTAGACGGGTTCCAGACACCCGTCTGAAGACAGAGTGTAGGGCGGAGCGGCCTGCTTCCCAACAGCACCCCGCCCTGCAGCTCCGCCTCCCTGCGCCCGTGGGCTCCACCCTGCCAGCCCCACAGCCTTTCAGCAAGTGCCATTTCGCCAGACGGTAGACAGCTGTGGGGTCCTTGGAGTTGATTCTGGAGTTCAGGTTGCAGAGCAGCTGTGTGAGGCTCACCTGTCTCAGCTCAAGTTTCCTGAGCTCTGCCCTGGGGCCAGAGGAGCTGAGGGTGGGGCCTGGGTGTCATTGACACATGCATGACACAGCATCACGCATCAGTTACACGCACACACCCAACACCTGCATGCGCACACGCAACCACACACATACGGCATGTGCATGCAACGATGCATGCACAGCCACACACAACATGTGCATGCACATGCGTATGCACCTCGCTGGGCACCTCCCATGCACTGCTATCTGGGGAGCCTTGGTTTGGAGGGTCCTCTGTCCTTTCCTGGGGCCCCTTTTCCTAACCCGTCCCCCACCGCCCTTGGAGATCAAGGGCGTCCCAAGTACAAGGCCTGGAAGAAGGAGCTGTGGTTTTGCAGCTTGAGCACGTGGGGTTCTGTGTGTGACGTAGCCCCCGACCCCGTGGCTGCTGGTGTTGCCTTGTTTCAGTTGTTCTGTGTCGTGGAGGCTGGGCTCAGGCGGAGTGCTGGGGTCGCTGGTGCAGGCGTGGGGCTCCCCACTTGCCTGACCGCCCTGTCTCGCCTCGTCCTCACAGTGACCTGACCAATGGTGCGGACGGCATGCTGGCCACGAGCTCCAGTGGGTCCCAGTACAGCGGCTCCCGGGTGGAGACCCCCGTGTCCTACGTCGGGGAGGACGAGGAGGAGGACGATGACTTCAACGAGAACGAGGAGGAGGACTGACGCCCGCCCGCGGCCCGCCCTCGCGGTCTGCGTCGGGAGAGACTGCTTCTGCCGTGGCCGTCTGTTTCCTTTCGGCCTCCTTCCCGGGCGCTGGCCGTGAGCTGTGGCCCGGCCTTGCGTGAGGCTCCGGCCCGCAGGCGAGGGCTGTGTCCCGCGGGGTCTCGGGTGAGCTGTGGTGCGCTTCCACGCCAGCGGCGACACAGGGCCTTTCTTCACTGTCTGGGATTTAGTTTTCACGTCTGTTTCTCGTTCAGAGCTCACTTTGCTCCCTCCTTGCTGTGTGCGCCGGAGCGGGGGCGCTCCGTCCCTGCTGCCCAAGTGCTCGGTTGTGCGCCTGGGCTCCGCGTGTCCGCCGCGTGTCGGGAGCGGTGCAGCTGCTGGGGGCGAGCGGCCCCTCTGATGCCGTCGCGTCTCGGGGCGTCCGGGGCCCGGCGAGCGGCGGGCTCTGCTCTTCAGCGTCCAGCGCCATTAACTGTATCGTGACTTTATTTTCCCTTAAATTATATTGACTGTGTGATTCCATCGAGTTTATACTTCTTTTTTCTCTATGTTGCAGCAGATTGCGAAGTTCTTTGTTTTTGTTTTGTTTGGTCAAATTTCCTGCCGTGCCGGTGCAGCCGTGAGAGCGGTGGAAGGCTCGGGCGCGCGTGCTCGTGGGGGTCCGCCTGATTTCTCACAGGCGGGCGTGGACTCTCGTGTCCGTGTCCGTGCTTACAGGCCCACACGTCTGTCATCTGAGGACACGGACGGAAACAAACGTCGTCTTTGTTTCGTGAGCATCTTCTTGTAATCTATGATGAAGTTGACATTAAATAGAGAGAATGTTCTAACAGTTTTTTAACTCAGAATTTGTCAATCATTTTTAATAGTTCTTTTTTTATAAAAAGAAAAAGGAATTTCAGGACAGGCAGTAGTCCCTTTTAAAATTTATTCACAAAGAACCATTAACCGCACAGTTGCTGTCAGCTGCCTGTTCTAAACAATAGTCTTTTTATTGAAACACAAATAAACTTTTCTGTAATATTTTATGGAATATAAAGAGACTTTAATTGTTTGACTTGTTTAACTTGGCACTGTTAGTTTTTATTAATAAAACGCGCATGGGCATTTTAAACAAGCTCTGTGTTCCTCTAATTCAGGATTCTTGTCCACAAGTTACTTTATCTTCTGTGTCAGTCTTGCTTCTTGCTGAGCGAGGGGTGGTTGCCAGGCCAGAGGGGGGCCCGGTGGCCACGCCAAAGCGCTCCTGCCCTCCCGTGCCCGCCCCGCGGACAGCGGCCCCCGCCTTCCTCCTGAGCCCTGGGGTTGAGACTGATTCTGGGGGTTTGACTTTCAGAAGTAAGGTTGTAAGGTAAGAAAGGACAGCACAGTGTCATACGAACGTGGGAGACAGTAGGCCTCAGAGGGGCGTCCGCTGTGCCGCGGAGAAGTGACGGCTGGTCCTTTCTTGCCACTTGTGACTCACTGTCCTTAGGGCAGCAGGAACTGGAGGGCGGGGGGCCGGCGATGGCGGCCGGCGAGTTCTGCTGCTCACTGGCCGCTGTGTGCCCGCAGGCCTGAGGCGGCCTCCCTGCAGGACCCATTGAGGTGACGCGGGCGGGCAGCTGGCTCCCGGGGGCGTGACTCTGCCTATCCTCGGGGGTCTGAGGTTTCCCACCCTCAGCTGTGTGTCGCTCTGCGGGCGGCAACGTTGTGCTGGTGCTTGTGTGGGATCAGGTCACTAGGTCGCACGGTGGCCGGGCTGGAGGGGACGCTCCGGGAGAGCAGGTTTGTTTGACCAGAATGCTCTCGTTCCGGGATTTTGCACAGGGGCTGGAGTGATCTGCCCGTCCGTCCCTGGGTGTTGGAGGGCGGGCTCTTATCTGTGGCTTCCTCTGGGGCTTGGACCCCACCCCACGCGTGATGCCCTCACGCCTCACCCGCTCACCTCCTGCAGCTGTGCGAGTTCTCGGGGGCAGCCCCGCTCCAGCCTCGTCTGAATTTCCCTGACGGGGGTGTGAAACTTTCAGAAGATTTTTAAAGAGCGTGATTTTGTTGTTGTATTTTCCCCTTATCAGAAAAGACATGATTGTTTTACATAGAATAAGAATGACTTTAATGTTTTATTTTTACAGTTTAGGAATTCCATTCTTTAAGAGCAAACCTCCCTGTTCTCGTAAGTCAGTGTTCTCTGAGAGCGTGAGCAGTCTTCACGTTGATGTGGGTACCGGGAGTTCATCGATGTTAGAAAAACGAAGGTATAGTGAGGAATGTGAAGTCGGCCTGGAACGATCTTTAGGGTCTTGTTAGTCGGGTCGCTGCTGCCTCGGGGTTATCATGTTGGCCCAGCGTCGTTATCATAGCTACAGGTTCGGGGTCAAAGAGCAGGAAGGATTTAGTGAGAGGCCGCTGACTCTGCGCTAAGCGCTGAGGGCGCAGTTTCCTGCCTGCCGTTCCCGGGCTGGCCGCAGAGCGTCGCGAGGTCTGGTGGGGAGCAACGGCAGCTGGGTCTGCGGTCGGCGGGGCCCGCGGGGCAGACCGGCGGCCCCCCCCCACCCCCCACCCCCGTCTACTGCTGAATGTTGAGCTTGAACTCCACTTTCCCTTCGAAGGGGTCGTGGGGGTTGTCGAACGTCACGTGGTCTGCCAGGATCTTGCACACGATGAGAACTTCCGTGTTTCTGGGGACGTTGAGAAGCTTTGCGGCGACCAGAGGGTTGGGGGAGGGGGGCAGGAGAACGTCAGAGAAGACGCGGCCGGGACCAGTCGGCCGGCCTGCCCGGCCCACCCACAGCTGTCGTGCACACGCTTGGCCGCGTGCGGGCGCTCACTCTCTCCGTGAGGAACGAGGAGAGCCGGTCTGGGGTAGGGAGATAGCACCAGTGACAAATTTGAGTTCAAATTATATTTGATGAAAATTAGTATAAAAACAGGAAAACAGAGATTTGGAGGATGTGCTTTAAAATGGGTATATGGTTGTCTGAAAGGATTTGGGAAACTCTGGGAAAGTGAAAGCATTGGGCTTGATATTTGTGTTTTGCAGGAGAGCTGTGTGTTTTCAGGTGGGGAAGCACCCAGAGGGCTACACAGTCACTGTTGTTTCATCTGTGTAACTGAAATGTTGAGGGCTTTCCTTTTGCCAGTCATTGCTAAATTTGAGACGATTCTGCGGCTGGGGAACGAGAAGCAAACCTACCTGCGCTTTCTTCCCGTAGTAGGGGAAGTAGTGGAGGCTGAAGGTGCCGTTGGGCGGGTAGTACTCCACCTGCAGGGGCCGGGCATCCTTGTGCTGGTCCTGGGGGCGAGCGGGGAGACCACGGCGTGCGTGAGGCGGCGTCTGGGAGCGCGGGCGGGTGTCTGTGCATGTCTGCCTGTGTCCGCACATGTGCGGATTGCCCCGTGGATAGCTGGGGCTTGTCCGAGCACAGATGGGGGGCCCTTTGTGTCTGTTAAAGGCTCAAGTCAGCCCACACGTGCGGTCGAGCGACGCAGAAGGACACAGGACGAGGCAGAGCTTCACCCCACGGCGAGGCGGGCTCTGGGGGGTGGGCGCTGCTGCTAACAGCAGGGAGCCTTCGGTCCGGAAAACAAAGCGTTAGAAAATAGGCCATGAAGACACATTTGATTTTTTGGTGTTATGATTTAAAACTGGTTTTGAGAAATTCATGCCAGCTCTTAGCAGGTTTTTCCAAATTGCCACCAAATACTTGGAAGGGTGTTAGTGATACACTGTCCCCGATGCTCCTTGAAGCAAAACAGTGAAAAGATAACAGTTTTTCTTCCCCGGTTTTTGCTCCCTGCGGTAAGGCTGCTCTAAGTGACGGTTCGTGTGGCCGTGAGGGGGACTTAGGGGGAGTGGCTGTGGTGCGGCCAAGCACTCACCAGGAAGGCGCAGTCCACTCCGGGCGCCGTGCTGTTGCTGGGGAGGAAGTTCACGATCTGCAAGGAGAGGGCGTCCTGGTAGCTCTCCCCCCGGCTGCGTGCGTGAGCGGCCCGTCCAAGCTGGGGGTCCGACCGGCACCTCCTTCAGAGCCAGAGCCCCACCCCACATGGTCTTGGCTGCCGGCACGTGGCAGGGCTGGACGGGAGGCTCCGAGCTGTGGCCGCCCCTCTCTGGCGCTCCGCGGTGCCCACCTCGCTGCTCCCACGTCACGCTCTCTTGGCCTCCTGGGTCCCGGCCCTGGTGTGTGCCTGCTTGTGTCTGGCGCCCTCCCCACACACCTGCCCTGGTGTGCACGGCTCCCCCCCCCCGCCAGGCAGTGTCGAGACCCCGCGGGGACCCAGGAGTGTGTGCCATTCACAGATGTGTGGCTTCCCTAGGGCTCTCGGGAAGGAAGCTTCTTAGTGCCGCACGCTTGCTGGCCAACACGGAGCAGAGATTCCCCCCAGCCTCTTGCCCTCCTTGGCCTCCAGTGGGATGTCCCCCTGCCCCGCACCCCAAGGCTGGATGGACCATGCCCTCCTGTGGTTTGCTTGCATTGGCCTGTTCAGTCTCCCTCGTGCCCGGCAGAGGGTCCCTGGCCCAGAGTGAGAACCTCTGCTTGGGATGGTTCCCAGCTGTCCTCGTGGCACCTGACAGCCCGGCTGCTGTCAAGCTTTTGTGTGCACATGGCCGCCCTGAGCAGCCCGGACTCTGCTGCGCAGTGTCCAGGTGCCGTAGAGCATGAAGTCAGGGCTGTGTCTGAGCTGTGCTCAGGTTGTATTTGGGGAGAGGTCAGCTCCTGAGCCAACATGACCGGTGCATGCTGAGCAAAGGTGCAGGATAGGAGGGGCTGCAGTGTGTGTCCCAGCCCTGCCAGCCCGGACCCCTGCACAGGGATGCATGGGGTCACACGAGGACCAGGCACCCTGGCCCCTCCAGGCCACGGCTGGGTCAGTGGTCTGCAGCTCCTCCGCACTCACCCTGTTCATCTTAATGATAAAGCACGGCTTTCCTTCCGCGAAGCCGAAGTTGGGGTCCGTCAGGCCTGAGCAGTTTTGCAGCATGTCTGCCATGAACTTGCAGGAGAACTTGGTGTGGTTTGGGGCCTGGAACCTTTCCTGGAAGAAGTACTTCTCGGAGGTGCAGTTGATGCTGTCCTCCTGGGATGCTGGCGAGTAGCCTGCCGGGACAGACTGCGCCTGTGGGTGCCGACCTCCAACCACAGCCACCTGGGGCTGGCGGGAGGGTGGCGAAGCCCACGGCCCTCCATGAAATTGTCTTAGGAGAGGGAAGAAGAGGCGGGAAGCGTGTTAAACGTCACCTGCCAAGAAGTCATGGAGTGTGTGCACGAGGCCCACCCAGGTCCTGTTGTCAGAGACGTTGTAGGAGATGTCCAGGCCTTTCTCCCCGTAGACATCCGGCCTCAAGGTCACCCCTGGAGAGAGAGCACGACACATCTTATTCCGTTCCCCCCAAAGTGTTGGCCACATCCCAGCTGCTTGCTGTGGAGGTGGGTTGCGTGCAGGGCTGGCCCGGCCCGGCGGCCAAGCGTGGGATGCTGCGGTCCCTCCTGGGCCTGGGTCCTCGAGGGCCCCTGGGCGAGGAGGCTGTGGCCAGGTGTTCTCTGGGGCAGGCAGCACCAGCTCAGCGGGGACCCGCCCACCGGGAGCCGCACCGGCAGCCAGTCAGGACCGCGTTGCTAAATGAAGTTGTGTTTGAATGCATATTTGAAAGCTCTTTACTGGTTTTGGTCAAGTCCGAAAGCAATCGGACAACGTGTTAATCGTACAAGAAAAGACGCACACGTGTGGAGTCAGAACAGCTGCATGTCTGGTGGGCATCCTCACTTCTGTTCACACAAAGATGCACAAACCTGTGTAATCAATTAGATAAATGGAATCCTACCACTCAGGTCCTACTTGATTCTTCCGTTTTCTTTTTCCTTTCTTTTTTTTTTTTTTTTTTAAGATTTTATTCATTTATTTGACAGGGACACAGCGAGAGAGGGAACACAAGCGGGGAGCGGGAGAGGGAGAAGCAGGCTCCCCGCCGAGCAGGGAGCCCGACACGGGGCTCGATCCCAGGACCCTGAGATCATGACCTGAGCCTAAGGCAGACGCTTAATGACTGAGCCACCCAGGTGCCCCTGATTCTTCCGTTTTCCAATGCCGTTGTCATCAAGCACATCATCGTCAACGCTGACTCACCTCCTT